CTCCAGTTTGGGCGACACAATGAGACTCTGACTCAAAAAGGGGGGGGGGGGGCGGTGAAGCATAGGGAAAGGCAGTCAGGGGTGGGGTAAGGAGAAGATCAAGAGTGGATGAGCATCAGAGGTAAAGAAAATTATCTTGCACATGCAACTTACTGGTTTTTTTTTTTTTGAGTTGGGGTCTCACTCTGCCACCCAGGCTGGAATGCAGTAGCAGGATCACAGCTCACTGCATGCACCCTTGACCTCCTGGGCTCAGGTGATCCTTCCACCTCAACCTCCCGAGTAACTGGGACTACAGACATGTACCACCACACCCGACTATTTTTTTTTTTTTTTTTTTGGTGGAGATGAGGTCTAGCTGTGTTGCCTAAGCTGGTCTTGAACTCCTGGGCTCAAGCAAACCTTTCCCCTCAGCCTCCCAAAGTGCTGGGATTTCAGGCATGAGCCACTGTGCCCAGCCAACTTACTCATGTTTTCAGCTAAAAATGTAAAAGTTAGCCTTTAGGGTCATGGATGTGTGTCCCATTGCCCCCTCAACTTAGGCAAAGTGTCTGCTTTCTCTTGAGCTCCAGAAAATACGTGTAAGTTTTCTTGGCCTAGGCTTGTGACTGCAGTCCCCCAGGAATAGATCTGTCATTCAAGAATGTGGAAGACAGCCAGACTTCTCAGGGAACTCCCACCTGCCAGACCCATCCTGAGCTGAGCCTTGGAGAAGCGGAGCAACATACCCAAAGTGGCCACCAGGGGACCCTGCGGGGCACAGAGGAATTGAAGTTGAGAAGGGATCCTAGTTACTCCCTAGCAAATCAAGCCCTGCCCTCACCTCCTCCTCTGCAGGCCCTAAACCTACATGGGTGGGATCTCATTCGCATCTCTTTGCAATCTCCAGCTAGGCTAGCCACTGCCTCCCTAGACCTCAGCCTCCTATGTCTTTGGTGACTGGGCAAGATTGCACATTCAAGGACCCTTGTGACTGTAATTTTTGGTGAGTCTAGGAGGCTCTGGGGTAGCCTGCCACCCTCTGCTGACATGGAAATGGGGAAGGGGACTAGGGTGGATGGAGGTCTTTGAGGGAAGAGGTATGCGGAAAGAGGACATCTTGACTGGTGGAGCATTAGGGAATGCAGAGTAGCCCTCCTGAGGCTGGCTACCCTGTGGCTAAAATGTTTTTCTTTAAAAAAAAAAAATGGCTGGGTGTAGTGGCTCAGGCCTGTAATCTCAGCACTTTGGGAGCCCAAGGTGAGGGTGGCCTGAACCTGAGAGTTTGAGACCACCCTGGGCAACAGAGCAAGGCCTCTTCTCTACAAAAAATAAAAAAAATTAGCCTGGCATGGTGGCACGCATCTGTAGTCCCTACTACTTGGGAGGCTGAGACAGAAGAATTGCCTGAGCCTAGGAGATTGAGGCTGTGGTGAGCCATGATTGTGCCACTGTCCTCTAGTCTGGGTGACAGAGTGAGACCTTGACTCCAAAAAAAAAAAAGACATCTTCCTAATGCAACATGAATTCATCCACTTTTTACTTTTTTTTTTTTTTGAGTTGG